GCGAGTGACAATCACGCAGTGTGAATTATCAAAGACGCGATCTCAGGGAATCGCCAACATGTTGCCGACGCCCATGAAATATTTGGCATGCTAAATATCTGGAGCTGTCGGCGATTCACAATCACGCTCTGTGCAATGAGTTCTGACCAAGTGGCAACCTCCCGCTCTCTCTCGTGAAGCCAACAAGGAAGTGACTTAAACTGTAATTCATCAACTGGCCACTAGAGGCTGGCTGCAAAAGGGAGTCAATCCCATAGACTCCCCATGTTAAAATGCCTAACTTTACAGCAGAAAAAAACATGTTTACAGCCTGGTTAAAAAAATTATTTTGGTCTATATAGCTAATTTTGCCCTTCATGATAACTGTGAGGGGGGTGAATTTTTTTATAACTCATCCGTTTAAATTATATTAAGCCTTAAAGTTCTGCATAATTAAGGGCGTGGCCACCTGAGTGACAGGTGGATTGCTGCTGCTGTCACCACCATCGAGCTAGGTGGGCGTGGTTTCAACAACCAGCTCCCGCCTCTTTGCCCATCTTCGATTATCCGTGAGTGACGCCAAGATGGCGACGGCCCACTTTTGAGCTTCAAAAACTATCTTTGGAACCCTACGGGTGACGTCACGGACACTACGTCCATGTTTTTATACAGTCTATGGTTCTGACTGAAAAACACATCGGCGATGACCTACAGCCAATGAGAGACCAAGATACAGGGCAGCAGGAAGTTCGTGGAGGAGTTATATGAAACGTAGTTTGCGGAGCAGTGTTGCCAAATCCGCGATTGCCGCCGGTTGTTTTTTATGTCAGCAGGTTGAAGCGACCCCAATAACGTAATATTTAGGCCCTGGAATGTGAATTGTACCAGGAGAACCCCGCCAAAAAATTTTTTATTTTACCCCCCGAACTGGGGGACCCCCTCCAAAGCAATTGGGCTATTTTCAGGCTAGTTTTGAGTAGTAATTGCGCGGGTTTTGTAGCAAAAACCTGTCAACCCTGCACCAGACAGAGCTGTCGGCGATTCTTCCTATTGTAAAGTCATGCAGTGTGTAACCTCCTGTCATCGTTCCATCGTGCAGTGTGAACACAGCAACAACTGAACGCTACCCCAGATAGTCTTTCAGTGTGAAACCAACAGTGATGCGACGTCTTTGAAAATCGTGCAGTGTGAACTCGGCATTAAGGACATTTTTAACTTGTTTCCCGAGGCCACAGGAGGGCGCAATGAGCAAAATAATGCAGCGCATTAATTGTCAATTCAAATAACTGTCTATAAAAACATGCATAACGCCTAAATTAACATATATAAATCAAATATAATTTTGTAAACTGCATAAACAATTATGAACAAAACAGCATCATGTGTTTATGCATTGCTTAGCCTAATACAAAGAGCCAAATCACCGATCACACAGATCGCATTTAAAAACATATGAGACGCAGTGAAATGAAATAAACCTTCACAAATTCGCGTCGCGTTTTCTAAACGTTTCGGTTTTCGGTTTTAACCTAATCAAGATCTTCTACGCATTGAGCTACTATATTTCTCTAATATTTTGAACGAATAACGCAGCAGTGGCGCGTCTCGTGGGCTAGACTAACAAAACATTCAAATGCAACATCACTTACATCATCATCACCGCATCTCGCGCACCGATGACGCTCCCTGACGCACTCCTAACATTCGATTGTACCATTTTTGCATTCAAATGCAAATGTTTATTTTAAATTCGACTAATATTCTTTTTTTTTAATTCACAATCTCCCACTATTACCAATTAAATTATAGTGCTTTCAGCTCCATTTAACACATTTGACCAGGTTTGAATCCATTTCACAGAATTCTGAAGATTTTTCTCTAAAATCTGCCCAAAAATAATCCCTGTGCAGCATCTTCTTGTAGCAAAATAAACTTATTTAAATAATGATATTTAATACTATGTTTTTCATTTTTTGTTTGTTTTAGTAGATGTATTTATTATAAATATAAGGTGTTTTGCAGTGTTAATGAGATTCTCATTTTTGTGGGTCATAAATATAGCTTTTTTTGAATTTGTAAAAAATATAGCAAACAAGATATTAAATGGCTTTAATAAACTTTCAAAATATTATTAAAATCAGCAAAGAATAATTGTGAAAAACTCCCTGTGTGGCATTTTATGTCTTTTTATAGTGAAATAAATATTTATTTAAATAACCACATTTATAACTACGTTTTCCATTCAGACTGATAAATTGTGGCATTTGTTTGTTTTACTAGTTTGTATTGACTATAAAGTTTGATGTTGCCACCTTAAAAAAATCCTCGTTTTTATGTGTGATAAATATTTTATATATTAAATATTTCTAATTTGTTAAATTATTGCCCATTAAATGGCTTTAATAAACTTGAAAACAGTTCAGCCCACATTTTTTCCATCACAAATGACTTGAAAAGTATTTTTATAAATAATTTTATAGAGATCACACACAAAAAGAAATATCCAGCTGAAGAAATACTAGACACAAACGCACATACACACACTGATAGCAGAGTGAACAATGGTTTCTGAATGGAACACCTGTTTGCTCATGGTAGGCTTGAGCAGATGCTGTTGCTGGATCTGCTGCCGTTCCTGATGCGATTTGGATTGCTGTGTGGACTGCGGCGTTCCGCCCTGAGAGCCCTGGGATCCCTGGCTCTCTCTGGTGGAGCTCTGCTGATGCGGCAGGCCAGGCGGGGTGCTGTCTTTGACGGACAGCTGCTGCCGAGGACCCTGTTGCCGGCCCCCGAAGCCAGACTCCGGGGACTGGAGCAGGTTTCCACTCTGTGGCCTGGTTTTGCCTGCAGGAGTGGCTGCGGCGGCAGAACTCACGGAAAGCTGATGCGAGGGTTGAGATTTCATGCGTTGCGTGGGAGGAGCCATGGAGCTTTGGCGGGCAGGCTGAACGGTGGAAGGTGGCGTGGCGAGCGATGAATGAGATGTGCCCGTCTGCGATGCCATGCCTGCCATCTGCTGCTGCTCCTGGTCATGAGACACATGCTTAAATAACAACCACCATTTCTGCCACTCATTTTTTTAATCATTTTACCCAGAAATTCAGTATAAGCAGCACTAAGCAAAACAAAACGCCAACAAAAGTTTGTGAATCTGTGATGTTTAACGTTTAACTTCTTTGGTTCCTTTTGTTCACTACTGTCACCTGAGTTTTGGTTCCTTGCCACTGTTGCCTTTGGCTTTCTGAGTTGGGCCTTAAAAGGTGATTAACATTCATAAATCTGATCAATTTCGTATTATCAAATTAGAACAAAACTTGAACTGAATTGAGCTGGGTAATGACACTCTTTTATGTAATCTGCTTTGAAGTCATTACATAATTGATCAACTTTACACGATTATTGAAATGAATTGAATCAACTCCGAACTAAATTAAGTTGAATAATGACACTATTATCTTCTGTAGAGCTGCTTTATATCTGAATCAAATTTGTTTTGTAATTGAAACTGGCTGTTAGTGAATTTAATTGAATCAACATGAAGTGACTTGAGCCAATTAATGATGCTACTGCTTTCTGAGAAGCTGTTTTATAGCTGAATTCAATTCATATTGTGTATCGAATTTCCAATCGCAATTACAATTATGGATGCCACAATTACGAAAAAAAGCGGCAATTAATCGTTCAAAGTCCACTTATGTTATTCTGCGTTCTTAAGATGCGTTTTTTTCTTTCTACATGTTATCTTAAGGGTTTTTCACATTATTTTAATTTTAGTTTTAGTATAACATTATAATACAATTTATATTTTTGCTTTTTTTATAATTTAAAGAAGAAACCAATCCGATGTATATTTGACATTTGAGGCTTAATACTATAGAAAAGCACTAAAAGTTTTTCAGTTAGAGTGTTTTCAGCTTGTTTATTTTCATATAAATATACGGCATGCAGTTACGTTAAACAATGGTATAAACATCATTCAATGTAAATTGTGATAATTACAATTTCAATTCGCAATTACAATTTCAAGGGAATAATCGACAATTATGATTTTGTGCTTATTTTTATTCTTATGCTTTTAATGCATAAAAACAAAAGCCAGGTTGTCCTGGCATTGTCAACATTTGTAATAATATTTAAATAATGTTACTTACTACATAATTACGCTCAGCTTTTATAGAATATAATAATTTTAACTGAATTCAGAATTAACAAAACAAAAACAAAAGCACCATAAAAATGAATTCATATGATTTAAATTGATTTTTTTCAATGGCTCATTTAAATGTCACTGTTACATTGTGTAAAATATTTCCATTTAAAAAAAATCACATAGAATTTACTGATCGTAGTCTATACAGAGGTAAGTTTTTGACATTAATTTTTTTACAGCATATTAAAAAAAATAATAGAAATAAATAAGTTCAAATAAAAAAGACATCCAATTGTCCAAGTAATAATGTCAAGATAAATGACATAATTATTTAAATATTTAAACAAATGTTAATAAATAATTAGCATCAGCTATTAAGATAAATTAATTTAACTGAACTCAAAATAGAAAAAACACCACAAAGCACTATAAAAGTAGTCCCCCCCCCCTCATATGATTAATTTAAATGTCATTAAGTTACATTTAAGTGTAATTGTATATTGTTTATTGTTTGTGTAAAATATTTCTATTGGAAAAAAATTATAATTTGCTGATTATATTTTATACAAAGGTAAGTTTTTTTTAAAGATTATATTTAAGCGTCTTAAAAATAATCATTATTATGATAAATAAAACAAAGAACAAAAGAAAAGTCCTAGCAATAATGTAAAAGAAAATTATATTTAATTAATCAAATATTATATTCGATATATTACATTTAAATAACATCATATTATATTTTAGCAATTATATAATATAACAAGAAATCATTTTCAACAGCTTTTACAGGGAACATTTTAATTTAAATGAATTTAATTGAACCTTTGTAGCAAAAAAAAAAAAAAAAATTCAAAATTCTGAGACTTCTATTTTGAAGCTAAAGTTCCTCTGAAATAGACTACAAAAGTCAAATGAATTTATATAGCACTAAGGCAAAACCTAACATGGCAGGTGCCATTTTTATGTAATTATTTACATTTTTTTTATTAATTAAATTAAATTGGTTAAATCTTAAATTTGAAGAAGACCTGGAATATAGTGCACAGATAATATGTACTACCTTTATAGTGCTTTTTTGACAGCATTTGTCTCTATGAAAACTGCATGTGATGCAATTTTGCAGTAAATACTCACATTTTTTCAATTTTTGGGTGAACTGTTGACTTTTTGTATGTCACGACCCTGAATCCCAAATGGTGATGCAAGATTAACGTAAAGAATCTCTATCATATGTATTGACTGCACCCACATCATCTCGTAGCCCTCTTTCCATGCTTGGATGGTATTTGACTCTGCAGTAAGCAGGTCAGTGGCGCTTCCTTCACCCTCAGGAACAAAGCCAACCCTCAGAAAAGCTGGCGAAACGTGTGCTAGGGAGCGAGCTGTTATTCACATGAGAATTCGGACCAGACAGCACTGACCATAGTAATGAAAGGCTTCTAAATGAAAGGTGTTATTATTTAATCAGAACCCCCCACCCAATCAGAAGCACTGTCCTATGGGACTTACCTTTGGGTCTGGATCAGTAATATCAGAACTGCTAGTGCAGTACGCTGGACTAGAGCGGGCCAACGGGGGACGGGCAACATAGAAAACGTCTTTAGATGAGGCTCGGTTAGGATGATCGCGGTCCGCAAACCCCCCCAATCCGCCCCGGGACGGAGGGGCACCGCCACTGGACATGGCAGAGGTTGGAGAGGGCAGGCGAGTGATCTCGACTGAACTATGTGAGATATGAGAAAGTTAAGATGGAAAATCATATCCACGCTCATTTTCTCCACAAGCAATATTCCTTAAGACATTCACTTAAGCTCAGTTCCAAAACCTAGTGAGCCATATGATGTGATATTGTCATTATTCTTGATTTGTAGTTATTTAATTTATTAATAAAATAAACTCTGATACAGTGTTATTTTAGTATCACTGATATATTATTACTGTTTGTTAATATTTTGAATGAGATTTTTTTAAATATTTTAGTTTTCACTTTAATCTTAGTAAAAGTTTTAATAAAACGTTTACCTTTTTAGTGTTTTTGACATGTTTATTATGTATTTTAATGTCTATATAGTATTTATTTGTTAGTTTTAGTTGATTTAGTTTGTTATTTTATACTTCAAGTTAAACTAAACAAAAATGAGAAATGCTGGCAAATATCTGAAATAAAATAAGGTATACAAGCATTATAGATAGTACTGTCTATAATGCTTATAGAATAGAAAAAATAAAATAAATTGTATGAAAGAAGAATATTCATTTTGATATTCGCTAAAGATTATATTTAACAATGTTATTCAATTATCAGTCTTTTTTTCAGATTCATTTTAAATGACAGGGAAAAAAAATCTAAATGTTATACTGAAATAATTCCCATAAAAATTAGAAATATTCCAACAACTAAACTAAACGAATGAAAATAAAATAAAATGCATTTATAAAAATGTATTAATAAAATGTATACTCTTACCCTTTTTTTTAAATGCGATATTTTACATAATTGTATTATATTTTATAATATGTATACATTGTATTTTAAATGTTTTTATACTGTGTGATAAAATACTTTATATAAAATATAATACAAATGTGATTTTATAAAAGACAACTAAATAAAATGTGTAATATAGTTACTGTACTAAAACCAAAATTAATGATTAAAATAGTCTCTGTAAAATATAACAAAATTGTTTAAAAATAGAAAGCAGAATGGGAAAAAAAAATAATTCTGTACATTTCTTTATTTATTCTGCACATTTTTTTATTTATAGCACCCATTGCACCTCGATTCAAGTTTGGATAAGGTGCCTAAAAATACAGACTAAGTAGGCAGCTCACTAGGATTTGGAAAATACTTCCTGCAGATGTGACACACATAAAGACAGCAGACTCTACCTGTTGAGGTCTCTCATCATGATGTTCTGGAACTCAGACGAGATGCCCCTGTTGAAGCTGGGCCTGGAGAGCAGTCTTTCCGTCTGTCTCTCTGGAGGAGGTCTGTCTGTCTGATGACTGGGCTGTCGCTGGAGGTGAGGGTTACGAAGGGCCATGCTGATGTCATTCAGAAGGCGGGGCAATGGTCCGAGTTTGATGATAGCATCCTTTGGCACGGTAACAACAGACTGATGACCGATTGCAAACATAAGCAGACAATCACAGTCATCTTTATCTAGACTATCAAAACAGCATCTACCTTGCTTAGCTGTGCCATGACTTCCCACAGAAGACTGTGCAGGATCGAGAGCTCCCTTCCCAAGTCGATGTAGCCCTCAAAAGCAGCTGCGTTGCTCACGCTGTCGAGATTGGAGATCTCGTAGAGGAACTGCTGCATGGAGCCCCACTCCATCTCTAAAAACTCATTCATAAAGCACATGTACTCCTCCTTATTGCCAAACCTGTAACACAGTGAGGAATCGGTAAGGACACGGGGTTGATACGGTCAGCTTTGAATGTTACCACATTGATAATGATGATAATGTGAATGATCTTTATGTTCATCATCAGTAACGGCTGCACAGTTTGTTATAGCTTAATGGTTAATGATCTGGGCTGACAGCCCAAACGTCATAATATAACCCATATAGGGTAAAGAGATCCCCATCACCACCGTGTCCTTGAGCAAAGACACTTGAACCCAAGTGAAGATGACTGTCCCGGATTTAAGTGTACCATATGTTGTTTTTTTGGATGGAAGAACAACAATTAAAGGACAAATATGTGACCCTGGACCACAAAACCAGTCTTAAGTTGCACGGGGATATTTGTAGCAATAGCCAAAAAAACATTGTATGGGTCAAAATTATAGATTTTTCTTTTATTTGGACAACTTTAAAGGTGATGATCATGTTCCACGAAGATATTTTTTCAATTTTCTACCGTAAATATATAAAAAGTAAATTTTTGATTAGTAATATGCATTGCTAAGAACTTCATTTGGACAACTTTAAAGGTGATTTTCTTAATATTTAGATTTTTTTGCACCCTCAGATTCCAGATTTTCAAATAGTAGTCTCTCGAACCAAATATTGTCCGATCCTAACAAACCATACATCAATGGAAAGCTTATTTATTCAGCTTTCAGATGATGTATAAATCTCAATTTTGAAAAATTGACACTTAAGACTGGGTTTGTGTTCCAGGGTCACATATCATGATCACAATTAGGGATGCACTGATATTAAAATTCTGGCTGTTACGATAACAATGATATTTATTTGCCTAAATTAGGGATGTGACGGTACATGCATTCAAATGAAAAAATCAAATGAAATAAAATAAAAATATTTGGTTGATAACCAGTATCAACGTATCATGTATTCCAAATCAAATTAGTTTATAACCAATTTGGTTCCATTATATTATGCATCTTGAAACAGAATGGGGAAAAGGAGAATGAACAAAATAAATATCAGATGATAAAATAAAATATTGGTTGACAACCAATATGATCCCAATATATCAAGCATCCCCAATCAGAATGGTTAATCTGCTGAAAAGACCAGCATGAATGCAAGCTACTGTGCTCTCATAATGCAGCAGGAAATTATGACATGGTAAGAAAGTGTGTACTGACTTTGAGAAGTTTGCAAGGTTCTGCACAACTTTGGCTATGAGGGTGAGTGTACGTGAAGTCTGCTCATCGGGGTACTCCTGTGTGAGGTTGAATAAGGATGGCGACATGACGGCTGGACACAGGAAGCGCAGGAAGAGGGAACCACTGATCAGTCGATCTGCAATGTCCTCTCTTCCCCTCTCAGCACATCGAACACGCCAGGACGCAAACACCTCTTTTAGTTCTCTTGAAAACGCACTGGGAAAATCAAATAATGCAGATTATTTCCATTTAGATTTAAGCAGTTAGTGTGATATCATATTTTCACTGCATCTTCATGTAAAATATATTAAAATATAGGCTGGGAATTCAGGATGAAGGATAATGTGAATTGTTATCAATTACCAGTTTCTCTATATGTTTCATATAATATTCATCATGCAATTGTTAAGAAGATCATAGCTATCAGTTGTTTAGGCACTCAAACTGTTTTAAAAAAGGTGCGGTGCACTTAAATATACACCGTGATACTTTTTTCGATGAATACAACATTCAAAAGAACAACATTTATTTGAAATAGAAATCTTTTGTAACATTTTAATGTGTGTGTGTGAGTGAGAGAAGACTGTGTAAATGGTCTATAAAAGGCTGGTCTATGTCAGCACTGTAACTAACCAATGAGAGTTGACAATTTTGCAGAGTGCGAGCTCACAGCACATCCGGAGGTTGGCTTGATGTTCGGGCAGCACAGAAGGTGGAGTCCTCATTGGGTCGACTTCACAGTTCTCCTCTGACTCATACAGCGCTCGGATAAAATCCCCTGAAACCAAATGAAACCATTAATGTGTGAGCGTACAGCGACTGAGACAATGATAGTGTGAGGAAGTCTCACCTAAAACGTCTTTGAGGTACTTGTGTCCGATGAGTTTGAGGTACTCTTCTATGGCTTTGGTGGCCAGGGTGTTCTCTCTGAAGATCAGGTGCTCTCGATCGATAAATCGGTCCACCTCACACATCGCCATGTCTGAAAGAAAATCCTTGTGCAGAGCAAAGGAAGAGACATCTGTAATCACTTCACAATTACCTTACATATAATTAAACTTAGTGAGCTGCCTTGTTGTCTACTGTCGACATATGCAGTCTCCTAACTGTGGTAGAACCAAATAAGTGAGTGATTTGGAGTGCCCTGCAAAGGCAGCATCAGTGTTGTTATTGTTATAAAAAAAAATTGGGTAATTGAAATAAATGTGAAATTAAATCTAAAAAGTAGATAAAAAGGTATAAGTTAAATGAAATTTAGAAATGTTGCCTTGGCAACTAAGTGAAATAAGTTAACTATTTTATGGAAAAAAAAGTTGAAGTACTGAAATGACTAAAACTAAAACTGTAAGAACTCGCACTAGCACAGAGAGTATGATTTTTGAACTAACAATTCGATTCTCTAAAATGCATAGAAATACATGTACACAAATATCAGATAAAACAGTCCATTTTTAATTAGATTACACTATTTTTCCAATAGTTTTCAGTATTTAATGAAATATTAGCAGGTCTACATTAAGTCGCAGATTTTTTCAACATGGTAAAATATTACACACACATTTTCATTTCCAGAAATGCATACATAAAAATAACAACATATACACATATTAAGTAAAATAGTCAATTTTCAATAATTTTCACTATTAAATCAAATATTAGAAGGTCATTAGCAGTCTTCTGCTAATTTTCTCTGACTTTTGGATTTAACATGGTTAAAATGTTATACATGGAGAGGAAAGCATCTAATTGGCTAATTAAAATAATTTTTCAAAAGCATATGTAATTGCCATTTACTTAACTCAGTTTAGCACAATACATTCTGGGATTGTCTTTGTCATAATATTTTGGGTCAGGAGCACACATATGATGTTCTAAAATGCTGTCTAATTAGGCAGCTCACTAGGTTTTTGGAACATAGTAAATAGCCTACTTACAACAAACATTATTCAAACAAAGCTTTACCTTGGCCTTCCCTGTGCTCTGCAGGATGTGCACCAGAGCACAGGCCACTTCCTCTTTGCTCTTGACACTCAGCAGCGGCTCCAGAACGGCGCACAGCGTACGGTAGTTGTTGGTCACATACTCTGCGAACTCTTTATACAGCTCCATCGGCAGGATGCTCATGGTCTGAAAGCGCGACTTGAGCCGCAGGGAGGCATTGATGATTTTGCCCCCTCCAACACCTCCACCCTTGGCCAGGACACTGGGCTGAATGACGGGGTACCATTGCTCCACAAACTGACGACCAGTGATGCTGGAAATGGGAATGCTGATCAAGCCCAGATATGTGCTCTTCTCCTGTTATGGTCAAAGAAATTGATGAAAACAAATGATGATCATTCACCTTAAGATAGCAGGATGCTAATGAAATGCCAGTGTCCTTTATCTACAATCAACTGCAGCAAAGTCAGAAACTGCTGAATTGCTTGACAAGTGCACTTTTGTACTTTTTATTTTCTTTGAGTTTTGCATTTCCTGCTGAAAAAGGAAGTTGGAGTAAGACATATCAAAGGCTCATCTTTGTTTATATTTTTAATTGACAATTGCCTTGAAGCATTATTTGCTAGCATTATTTGCAAAAACAAAATAAAACAAAAACAGTTTTTGAGTCTATGGGAGTCACACTTTAATTTTGAAATAATAATTAATTTATAAACAATATTTAATAATGAATATATACACAAATATTATATATATTGAATATTATATATTTGTATTTAATAAAAATACTATTAATATTATGCTACTATACACTTTTGATTATATAGAATTACATTTATATTAGCATAAAATATATCACTTAATTTTTAAATATATTTTATTTTTAAAATACATATTTTTATATGTACATTTTTTATTTTATATATATATATATATATATATATATATATAAAGAGTGTGAGGTGGTCCTTTACCTTGCGTCTTTTCTTGTCTGTCTCTTTGTAAAGATGAAGGCGGAGGTTGCGGACAGCTGGCAGGTTGTTGAACTCAAAGTGCTCACCCCAGAAGACAGTATCGGTTCGGGGTTTGCTGGTGGTGCGGGCGTATAGCATGTCATCCAAGCACAGTTCACAATAATAGCGCTTTTTGGGTGGGAGTTCACGGGCCTCGATGATCCACAGCTTCAGAACGTTGTCGACGCGTCGACTGTTGTCCTGAGTATGGGAAACACAGACAGTAATGCCAACACAATCATATTTGCAGCATATAAACTGTAGGCGAGGGTGGTGAGGGGGTTTGCAGAACTTCAAATGTGTCATCAAGCATGCGGACAGACAGGAGAGACTGCAGTGATTTAGAAAGGATAATGATCTGTACTACTGTTAGTCTAACACCTACAGCGTGTCTAAAGTGCCGGAGTGGTCTCACAGAGTGATGAGTCATTAGAACCATCAAAACGCCACTTTCTACTGGCAATCATAGATGTACTAAATATACCCTGAAAAACTGATTTCCAAAGCTCCAGTCCTTTTATTTAAAAAATAAAGCGAAGATAACATGCTACAGTCATGAAAAAAAATCTGTACATTCTAAAACCATAAATAGCAATTAAACTCAATAACTAATTATAATATTTATTATTATCATTATTAATATCAATTAAATTGTATGTTTATATATTTATATTTTCAAAACATTATTATTAATAATATTTCTATATGATCTGAATTCATGTCTATCCTAAAGTAATTAATAGCAATAATAATTATTATTATTTTATGAACAAAATGTGTTTTATAAATATATTTATATAATTTAAATTTATATATTACATTTCTGTCCATCCTATAATAATAATAATAATAATAATAATAGTAATAATTGTTATTGTTAATAGATATGACATTTTCCTGACATTAATACATTTATTATAAATAAATATAGCTGGATTTATAAATGTAAATGTGACAGTGAAGGTAATTTGATTTGATGTATTATTAATATATTTATATTTAGAATATTTATATTTATTTATGATCTGAAGTTCTGACCATCCTAAAATAATAAATAGCGATTATTATTATTATTAAATTAACTTTATATTAAAAATATTATTATATTTATATTAACCCGTCATTTATTAATAATAGACTTATAATACTAATAATATAGTTATAATATTCAACAAATAAAATTAAGTATACTGTTCTGATTGTGGATATCTAATTTACTTGTTACTGAGCACCTTAAAACTTTGAAAATCTTTCAAAACATTAGTGAACACATGGTGATGATTTCACACATTCACACAAAGCTCACATTGCACTCATAAACATAACTTTGTTTTCTGTTGGACTGGTAAAAACCTGTGCAACCTGAATCCCAAAAGTTATGTATTAATTCTGATTAGAACTTTCCAGTTGTACTTTCCAGTTTTGACGGTCAGTGAACAGATTGTGACTCCATCTGTGACTACCTCAAAGAACCTATGGTAAAACCCCACTGCATTCCTACATGTCCAAAATCATGATATTATCATGGTAACATATGTTCAACTTGTGTTTTTTGTCATTGAGTGCTTCAGTGGTTTGCTGTGAACTTATCAGTGATGCACATCTGTGGCTTTTTCTACCACTTCAGAAACTTCTTCAACTAATCAGCTAATAAACTAATGAACACCCTTGGTCTGTCCTCATTTATTGTAATATTGACAACACATCTGTTGCAAGACTGAGCAGGCCGATCATTTTTGGACGCCTGCGCCCATGTTCTCCCCACAACACGATTCAGCCCAAACTCCCGCTGCCTGAACATCTGGACGAGTCAATCCACACCGCTCTCTTTTCAAAGCCCACCCATTCAAAACCCTCACGACAGACACAGCCAATAGACATCTGCAGGTGAATCCAGCATTCTGTTATCAGCCTTTGGGATACATCTAAGTATACCAGATTAAAAAAAGAAAGCATTTGTTTCATTATGAGGCACGAGAGCACATGGAAGCTGTTTGAAGTTCATTCAGGAATCCTACAAGTATACCAGTAGAGGGTGAAATGAGTGTAAAGATGGAAATGACAGGAGAGGTTGTTACTGAAGTAGACTGATGCAGTCATGGAAGAAGGGGAAAGAGAGCTGAGAGCTCTTCTTTTCTTTTTCTTCTTTACACTCACTTTGTTTGGTTTGACAGCTCTCTGCAGATTCTCTATCCATTTGTCTCGCTCCGCAGCCGACCGACAGGCAAAACACTTTGTTCCTGAAGAAGTTATCACCTAAGTAAAGGAATTAGGAGTTTCACTATTTCAACCATCAGCGTAATTATGAGACAGAGCAACACAATTCCACAGGGCACTGGAGTTAATACAGTCACACATTTGATGATTTAAGATTAAATGTGATTTCTGTGTCAATAGTGGCACCAAGTGAAACTGACAGAACATTTACAGATTTCATTGTTGTTCTTCATTTCATAGAATGATAGAGCAATATATATACAGTATATATATATATATAAGGAAAGGAAAGAGTTAAAAGAGTTGTATAGTTTGCTCTACATCACCTCAAAACAGTACTCCTGTCCGAGTATACTGGAGTGAACAGGCTTGATGACCGCATCTTCATCAAGTGTCAGATCCAAGGCCTCGGCTGCGCTGCTGGGAGACAGCAAAGACTCATGGGAGTGTGATTCTTTGAAGCTCTGCATCAGACGAGTCCTGTGAGGGAGCAAGAACAGCAGGTCTGAGAGAGAAGACGCTCACAGGTTGAGCTTACATCACACATCGACATGACGAGGTCAGTATTTCATTTGATATTACACAAGTCGACTTTCCTTGGAAGTTCTTTCTCTGTGATTTATGGAGAACAACATCAGCCTCTATCACCAATCATGAGATAAATCATGAGCAATTGAACATTTGGGGAGAATTCACTAAGAATCAATAGCTTAGTGTTAAGTGTATAGTTTCTTGGAAATGCTGAAACGCACACACACACACACACACACACACACATTCACTTCACAGTTTACAGCCTCAAAACCTTGAAAGAGTTGAAGAGAAGATTAACAAGCTTAACAATTATATAAATATCAAGAGAAAAAGTATGATAAAATGTTAGATCCCTACTAGTGATGTATCGCTTCCCCTGCGTCTTCTGAGACTCACTGTATATGTATACATTCAGCCTCACAGCATTAAGTACATACAGTGTGGGGGAGAGAGAGAGAAAGAGATGGAAGGTATAAAAATAGACCCAAAGGAGTGAGTCAGAATGAAAGAAATGATAGAGCGAGTGGAGGAGGGGGAGGGGGGGGGGAGAGAGACAGCAAGAGACTTCTCAGAGGAAATCAAAATGTTACGTAAACTGTGGGAACTGAAAGGAGGAAGACAAAGACAGACAGACAGACAGAATAAAGGACTGAAACGCAGCAGTAACAAGAGGATAACAGGACAGAGATGGAAAAATGACTGTTCTGTTTCAAGGAACACAAAAGAAGATGTTTAGCAGGATGACCAAGGAGCTTTTATCCATACAAAGAAAGCAGGGGCTGTCAAGCTACAAAAATGATATTAAAGCACCAAAAAATTATCATAAATGTAGTCTCATGAGCTCATGCACTATATATCAATTGTCTGCTGAATTAAATAATTTTGATATAATTGAATTTACATAAATATATTTATATGAATATAATTTATATTTATATACATTTTCACACACACACACACACACACACACACACAAGGAAGATTATATTTTTATTCAGCAAAGATGCATTAAAAAGATCAAAAGTGACTCATTTATAAAGTTTCAAAATATTTATATTTCAAATAAATGTTGTTCTTTTGAACTTTCTATTTATCAAAGAATCATAAAAACTAGCACGATTTGTGCAAAACATATTAAGCAGTACAACTGTTTTCAACAATGACAATAAGAAATGTTTCTTGAGCAGCAAATCAGCATATTAGAATGATTTCTGAAGGATCATGTGACACTGAAGACTGAAAATTCAGCTTTGCCCATGAGCTCATGCACTATATATCAATTGTCTGCTGAATTAAATAATTTTGATATAATTGAATTTACATAAATATATTTATATGAATATAATTTATATTTATATACATTTTCACACACACACACACACACACACACACACAAGGAAGATTATATTTTTATTCAGCAAAGATGCATTAAAAAGATCAAAAGAGACAGTCATTTATAAAGTTTCAAAATATTTATATTTCAAATAAATGTTGTTCTTTTGAACTTTCTATTTATCAAAGAATCATAAAAACTAGCACGATTTGTGCAAAACATATTAAGCAGTACAACTGTTTTCAACAATGACAATAAGAAATGTTTCTTGAGCAGCAAATCAGCATATTAGAATGATTTCTGAAGGATCATGTGACACTGAAGACTGAAAATTCAGCTTTGCCCTAATAAATTATATTACATAAAATATATTTTAAAACAAAACAATTATTTTTTGTAATATTTATTTGTATTTTGCAATATGTATTGTAAAATTATTTTCTGTAAAATGTATTGTATTTTGTAATATTTATAATATCACAATATTACTGTTTTACTGTATTTTTGATCAAACAAAAACAGCCTTGGTGAGCATAAAAGAACACTTCTATTTGTGGATTCTCAGTGTATTTTGATAACATTTGACTTTTTAGTGAATATTTACTTTTAATTTTTCATGTATTTCTTATTTTTTGTATTTTTAATAACATTCAAAAGGCAGTCTAATTACACTGCAAACATAAAAAAAACTTTTGATTTTTCGACTTTCGGGTGCTTTCGATTTTACATGTTTGATCTCATACTGTACATTTGATTTTTTAACATAACATCCATTCTCCTTTATGTTTGGCTTTTGAGCAGGTGAGGAGACTCATCTAGAGGAAGAAAAAACTGATTATTCTTCTTGGAAAGCTATTATGTATTTAGCAACTGAGACGAACAAAGTCTGTTCATCGCACAAAGCTATCATATGAGCCACTTTTATGGAGTTTTATTTTTATATTTTATTCAGCCTGACAGGATAATTCACCATTAACTTTCATTTGTATTGAAAAAACCATTTGGACATTTTCCAAAGATCCTCATTTTGTGCTTGGAACGACATTCGGAACAGAATTTGGATGAATTATCCCATTCACATTAACACAAACAAGCTTTTGGGAAGCGGTCAGTCAAATCCAAAAGATAAGTGAGGTTTCTACACAAAAATCCAACGCGTAATTGCTGGCATATCAAATTTGATTGGATCCTGACTATCAGTTCTCTTTGAGATGAGGTGGATTATATCACAATTACAGTACATCCTAAAATGAAACACAGCATAAAAAACGCAGCCTTTCGCTGAGACTCTGCTCACAACACTGAAATTCTGCCCCCACGCTGCCACTCCAGCTGTTAGACTCCATTTGTGCATCATACCACAATCCAGCTCACTCCCATTCCAGTTAAGGGTTGAATCAAACGATTATATGAAAGAGGAGTTGTCTGTTTGAATTACTCAAAACGGTCAGCAGCACAGCCTTCATTTCACAGCCGAAAACATCCTCTTTGAAAACCAAACGTCAGTGGAGCACTTCCCTGTCCAAACTGAGCAATGAACTTCAAAAACCATGACATGCCTTTTCTGGAAGACCACAGGCTGACCGTGGGTGAGCTTAGAGCTCTGAGCATGAATAAATGAAAGAATAAACCGTGACAAGAGCACCTCAGCGCCTGTCGGGATGCTTGAAGAAGGACATAAAAATTTTTTCCAGATTGAGAGATTTAAACTGGAGTGCAAACCAGCCTTTAACGGAGCATTTCATCCAACAATCATGATTTGCTGACCTCTATTTTATTCCAATCTGACACTATTTTAATTCTTTTATGAAACACAAAACGACTCCTTCACTCTCTCTCTCTCCCTTACCATATAATGCAATGCACTAGTCATTTGAACTCTTTTTATGATGCTTTTCTGGTGCTTTTTCGGGGTTTGACAGTATAATTCACCACAAACCACTGAAAAAAGAGCAGTTTGGATCTCATTTTGTGTTTCACAGAAGAAAGAAAATAACACATGCACATTTGTGAGTGAACTATCCCTTTAAAGGGATAATAAGCATTCTGTCATCTTTGACTGACCCTCATGTTGTTTCAAACCTGTATGAGTTCTTTCCCTTCTGTTGAACACAAAAGAAGATATTTTGAAGAATGTTTGTGGCCAAACAGTTAATGGTAGCCATTGACTTCCATAGTCAACATAAGAAAGTTCAACTCGTACAGGTCTGGAACAACTTGAGGGTGAGTAAATGATGACAGAATTTTCATTTTTGGGCGAACTGTCCCTTTTTGACTGTACAACACTCATTCACACCAAAGTATGGTGGCCGAGAGAGCTCAACGCGCTGCAAATGAAAAAACACATGCAAATAGAAAAAAAATACACCAGCAACTTAAGAAAACATCTTCATCAGTTTGACACCACACATGCTGCAAATACTCACAGACCACATCGGAAATGTGACGAACCTGGCTGAGACATGCTTATCAATGTCTCCTCTGAAAGGTTAATATAGTTACCATGGTAACCACAAATTGCTCATGGTTTTGCTACACTAACAATAGTTTAACCATGGTATTTGTACAACTTTGGTAATCAATACACCAAAAAAACATGGTAACTACCATGTAGCAAATCCATGGTTAAATTAAATCCAATAGTAACCATTTGGTTTTATTTGTAGTAAAACCATGGTTAATTTTCGTAAGGGTTCTGTTGTGGTCTGTGCTACTTGCAATGTTTTTCTGTATTATGCGTATTACGTTTCTGTATTTGGTTGTGTTGTAAGTATTTGTAGCGCGTTTCTGTATTTTGAGTATTTGCAGCACATGTGTTGTCAAACTGATGATGATGGTGTTTTCTTAATTTGCTGGTGCTTTATCTATTTGCATGTGTTTTGTTAAGTTGCAGCGCATTGAGCTCTCGGCCACCGTACCAAAGAGGCTTTGAAGTGGAATATCTTGACACGGCACTGTTTCAGCATGGCATTATGGGAGGAAGAGTTTGGACGGTACCGGTCCTGGTCGGCGCTGCGGAAACGAGGGAGGATCATGTGGCGGAAGCTGCTGGTTCGGTCCAGTTTGGGCTGACTCTTGGCCCGCTTAATGGACCCCTTCAGTCTTCTACTGAGAAAACTCTGAGAAAAAGAACAGACTCAGAATTAATATGCATGACCACAGAACACAAACCTAAGGAAAGGATTATTTGGATTGCATAGTCAGATGCTTGAAAATGTAAAAACAGGCAGTATTCTTTTTTTTTTTTTTTACACTTTATGATGGCTTTATAAACTAACCATAAAACATACCGTGTGCAGGAAGTTATGTTAAATACTTTACAGATAAAGTATTTTAACATTGAAAAAAAAAACATGCTTAATCTTTATCCAAGCCTTTGTGATAATGACAAAAATTAGACAAAAAATGGAATAAACTTTAAAAATGGTTTTATAAAAATATTTATTATAAATATTTTTTATAAAATATTATAAAATATTTAGAATATGCATTATTATAATAAAAAGACTAAATGGAGTAAAGTGTAAAAAAAACGGTTTTATATGTATTTATTTTTTTGTTTTATATAGTTTTTTTATAGCCAAAAAAACATTGTATGGGTCAAAATGATAGATTTTCCTTTTAAGCCAAAAATCATTAGGATATTAAGTAAAGATCATGTTCCATGACGATCTTTTGTACATTACCTACTGTAAATATATCAAAACTTAATTTTTGATTAGTAATATGCATTGCTAAGAACTTCATTTGGACAACTTTAAAGCCGATTTTCGCAATATTTAGATTTTTTTTGCACCCTCAGATTCCAGATTTTCAAATAGTTGTATCTCAACCAAACATTGTTCAATCATAACAATGAAAAGCTTATTTATTCAGCTCTCAGATTATGTATAAATCTCAATTTTGAAAAACATTGACACTTAAGTTTTGTGGTCCAGGGTCACATATATAAATAAATATATATATATATATATATATATATATATATATATTAAAATTGCTTTAAAATAATAGCATTTTTTTATTATTAATAACATAAATTCTAATAAGAATTATTATAACTAATTATTTTTTTAAAAAAGCAATTCTTTATATGTATTATTATATTAAAAAACCAAAATGGAATAAAGTTTAAAAATTATTTTATATATTTAACATATTTAATTTGAATATATTTATGCATTAATTTATTATTAATAATATACATACTTATAACATTAATTAGATGAACAGATGTAAAATTGTGGTGCAACTGACTGAAATGCTTTTCCTTTGCTGGTGGCAAAACACTCCAGCAATGTTGTACTATCCCCACTCAACCAATAGTGGGAAGTGTTGCTTCATGAATATTTCCTGACGCCTACAGTAAGAACAGACTGGCAACAGCAGGAAAGAGGTTCACGCCACGGCAGAGTAAAAAAAAAAAAGTCGGATCATCTCACTGTGTTCGTAATGCTTTCATAAGACGTGCAATCTCAGATGCATCCTGAAAAGAGACAACCCATCAACAGAAGCATGTTTAGACAGTAGATGAAGCTGTGAAACTCATTTGCTCTGTGATGATTATAGTTTTTGCAAGACAGCAGTGTATTGATATTTCTCAAACGTTCTGGTAAGGAGGCTTATTTTAAACTACTAACCCTCAGTATTACACTCACAAAGAAACTTCAGATTATATTTTGAAAATCTCCCATTTGGAAAGCAGCATTTCATTTACACAAATCCAAAGCCTAAAACCTACCCAAAAACTTTGCTGCCATGCAAGAACTGTTATTTCCAGTCAGTTCTGTCAGGACCACTATCGTCAAGATGATTGACAATTAGCATACAGTTTGGATTGGCGGTAAGGTTCTGTTCTGGGCAAGAACTCCCTGCGCATCCGTGCAGCCTAGCATGGATGAGAGCAGGGAGAGCAGCAATAACCTCCCAGTGTAAACAGAACAGAACCAACATAAATGTATTGCAGATATCGTTAAAGTTCAATAATTTTATGTACACATTTTAGAATTTGTCTGATTCAAAGGAGAATCAGAAGGTTGAATCCCGACTGACAGAGGAGGAGTTGGGGATGGAGGAGGGTAATTAGCTATTGAGGAATGCGAAAATCAATGATATCCGTCATTAATCACATTAATTTTAACAACTTTTTAGTGGAACATGTATCATGGGAAGACATATTTTGTCATATGTTTGTCGCATTAAGCCACTAAAACAACATGAGCAAAAAAGAATCAATGTGGCTTTTCTTTACGTTTTTGTGCCAGGTTGCATTTCAGCGAGAGACAGAGTCTGGCTCATCTCGTATATGATGCTGCGAGTGACACTATGGCTTTGTCCCAAAACCAAGTGGACTGCCAATGTAGGCAGCTTTCCCAATGCAAAGGCTGTTCCAAAAGGTAAGAAACCTTCTTTTGGCTGTTGTGATGAAGGCAATCCCATAATACAATCAGTTCCCATCATCCATAGCACTGATTACACACACACAGTTGATTGCACACAGCACTGATTGCACACAGCTGTCATCAATCACACCTTCCTTATATAACACTCACTCTGATCCCCGTCAAGCTGCCGAGTATTGTTTAGCGCATATCACTCTTCTAGCGATAGTTGCATTACGGAGCCCTTCCTAGTTCCCAGTTCTAGTTCTAGTACTAGTCAAGCCACTTCGTGTTGTCTGTTTCCTGACCTTGTTCTGTTAATACAGTTTTTAGTAGTGTTTGCTAGTGCAAGCATCGATATTACTACTGCTCATACTTCAACAAGCATTTTTTTAACTTAGCACTTGTCTTACATCATTTGTGCGACAGAAATGAATGATGCCTCAATTCATGTGCCATGTTAAAGAGAGCTGTGGTGCTAAGTAATAGGACAACTTATTTATTTGTTTTATTTATTTTTTACAATTTGTGTCTACCGGACAAAAACTGGTCAAAAATCTCATGAACTAACACTGATTAAGGGACTTGAGTCATATCTAGAGGCAGAAAATCACAGATGGACTCTTTTGACTAGGGCCAATAAGCAACCATACAGCAATTAGAAATTACATCTTTTAATCCCAGATAATACCTTGAATTGATTTGTATGGCTTTTATTTTTCACTACACCGAGAAAAAAAAATGGTGTAGGATTTAATTTGCAATCATTTTCACTCAGAAATTGCAAATAAACACTCTGAATTCACAAATAAATACTGAGAAACCACTAGTAACACACTGCAGTAAATGAGAAAGTTTTGAGCAGAAAGACTTCTTGTTAAATATACTCTAATAATCCTTGTTTTAGTGCAACTTTGAAAATAATATATTTTCCTATATTTCTAATATTTTTGCAGTAACCACTGTTTCTGTAAAATGGGCAGTTATAAATAATCATGTCCAAAACAATTATTTTAGAAAAATTGATCATGGTTGCAATGGTTCATATGTATTATTTTCAGTTTTAAGTATTTTTCATGGCACTCAATCCCTTAGCATTTGAATTAAACCGGGACAGTAAACCTAAACAAAAGTCATCACGCTCATCCTTATTTAAACAGACAAAAAGATCTATATTAGTTTATCACAAAAAAAAAAACATTTACATTTTTTTCAGTTTTCAGTTTACTTTTCATGCTGCTAAAATGCATTTAATTTAAACCGGGACACTAAACAAAAGTATTCATGTTCATTTTATCGCAGAGTAACAATATTGTATTCTTTTTTGGCAGAGCTACAATTGTACATTTTCATTATTTCATTTCAGTTTTAAAGGGACAGTTCACCCAAAAATGAAAATTCTGTCAAATAAAATGGAAGTCAATGGCTACCGTCAACTATTTGGTTACCAAAATTCTTCAAATATCTTCTTTTACGTTCAACAGAAGAAAGAAACTCATACAGTTTTGGAATAACTTGAGGGTGAGCAAATTATTACGGAATTTTTCATTTTTTGGGTGAACTGTCCCTTTTCCATGCCGCTCAAATCCCCGAACACTTGAATTAAACCGGGACACTAACAAGACTTCTCATTCATCCTATTCAAATATCTTCTTTTACGTTCAACAGAAGAAAGAAACTCATACAGTTTTGGAATAACTTGAGGGTGAGCAAATTATTACGGAATTTTTCATTTTTTGGGTGAACTGTCCCTTTTTCCATGCCGCTCAAATCCCCGAACACTTGAATTAAACCGGGACACTAACAAGACTTCTCATTCATCCTATTATTAAACAGGCAAAAAGGTCTACACTAGTTTATCGCCAAGAAATTGGCCATTAAATTTGATGAACTCAGACATAATGACTCAATTATTGGCTTGGGAAGAGATGAACATGTTTGCTTCCTGCGTGACTAACTGTTTGTCTAACACCTCCGAGCCGCCTGCCGGCCGCTCGAACTCACAGCACAAGCCGAGCTCGGCTGTTAGATAACCTACCTCAAGAGAGGGCAGAGCCGCCACACTGGGTCCAGTCCATGGATTAGAACCCACAACCTTCCACTCACCAGCAGCCCAATGAGAGAGCGGGACTGAGGCAGGGAGAGTCAGAGAGATGGTCGGGGAGAGTGGGAGGGAACGGGGGAGCGGAGGGGTGCTGACTCTCTTTTGTGACTGTGAAGAGGACAGGCCGGTGGAGGGAAACAGGGGCAGAGGTGCGAACGGGAGCGAGAGGGAGAGGGAGGGAGACAGGGATCGGGGACGGAACGGCGGGGTACTCACGGATTGTCGGAAGGGTTGTGGGGGGGCAGGGGGTGGGATCTCCATGCTTGGCTGCTTCCCGGTGGCGATGCTCTTCCGCCGGAGCCGAGCTTGGTCTGAAAGGGAGAGCCAGAGCAAAGTATCACAACCAACAGCAGATAATGTAATACATGTAATGCAGATAACAGCAGACTGGAAAACAATGATGTTTGCACAGATTTTTGCCCTGATTGCAGTTTGGACGAGTCAATGCTTTTTGCCGAAAGTCTGAGCCAGTCTGCAGATTTTAAGCAGTCAGATATTTTTCATAGTCTACGATGGGTAAAGACTCACATTGTTAAAAGCGCTATATAAATAAAAAGGTGACTTGACTTGACTTGACTCACAGACTGATTTTCTTTTAAGCTTCAGTCAGAGGATATCAATCATGTTTACATAAATATTTGAGCTGATTGTAGAAATTTGATTAGATTTTAAAAGTATTTTATTTTATAGTGTCATATAGTGTATAGTGTATTGTTAACTACACTATTTAAAATAGTTTTTGTTAACTGAAATAAAATAAAATAATAAAAAATAATAAATATTAGACAAAAAAATGAGAAATGTTGCCTTGGTAACAAACTGAATTAAAAAATTATTTTAAATAAGTAATACGTTACTAAAATGACTAATTACTAAATTTTAAAATTACTAAAACTTAAATAAAAATAAATTAAAGGCAAATAGAAATATAAAAAAATAATACCAAAAATTACAAGAGCACATAAGAAAATTACTAAAACTTCAACTAAAATAAAAATGAAAATATAAAAGTAAAAGCCTATTCAAAATAGGCTTCATAGCATATACATAATACTAAATAACATTGTAAGCTTATTATTAAAGAAATAAATCACCCAATAATGAAAATGTATTTTATTTAATTTGAGTGAATTTGCATTTTAGTGAAGTATTTTACCCCACTTTTAATATGGCAATGGCAATGTTATTTATATGGCACTGTTTACTACAACCAGAGTTGACCTATGTGCTTTACAACAGAATAACTAAAAACAACAAAAACACAATGAAAAATAAAAACAGTAAAACCAAGAACAAGGAGAGAAAAAGGAAAGAAAAACATCATAACATGCAGCAAATATATAGGACAAGGATAAAGAGTGCTTCAACCAGAATTAAAAGCCTTATCGAACAGATACGTTTTTAATTTAGACTTAAAAATAGCCACAGATGAAGCCATTATAATAAAAATATCTAATAATATCTAACAGAAATAGTATTTTTGGCAAACATGTTCAAAAGTTGTTCATTCACATGACATACTGTAAAGACTTCACATCAGTGGATTAGAAAAAGTTATTTTATTCTACATAACGATGGCCATCATGCAAACATGACTATCCAAGCATTATTTGCTTTATACTTTCAGATGTGGATTTAATACATCATGGGTGATAAATACACCTGTTAATGGGGTTAATGCCCTCATATCACCAGCAAAACAAACTTAAATAATTGCCAAATTCGAGTTGCTAGAGTTATTTGTCAGTTACTAGCCATTTTGTAAACCAATACATCTTAGATCTCAAATTAAGAACTATAGACTGTCACCTGCTGATGTAATCAATGATATCCGTCATTAATCACATTAATTTTAACAACTTTTTAGTGGAACATGTATCATGGGAAGACATATTTTGTCATATGTTTGTCGCATTAAGCCACTAAAACAACATGAGCAAAAAAGAATCAATGTGGCTTTTCTTTACGTTTTTGTGCCAGGTTGCATTTCAGCGAGAGACAGAGTCTGGCTCATCTCGTATATGATGCTGCGAGTGACACTATGGCTTTGTCCCAAAACCAAGTGGACTGCCAATGTAGGCAGCTTTCCCAATGCAAAGGCTGTTCCAAAAGGTAAGAAACCTTCTTTTGGCTGTTGTGATGAAGGCAATCCCATAATACAATCAGTTCCCATCATCCATAGCACTGATTACACACACACAGTTGATTGCACACAGCACTGATTGCACACAGCTGTCATCAATCACACCTTCCTTATATAACACTCACTCTGATCCCCGTCAAGCTGCCGAGTATTGTTTAGCGCATATCACTCTTCTAGCGATAGCTGCATTACGGAGCCCTTCCTAGTTCCCAGTTCTAGTTCTAGTACTAGTCAAGCCACTTCGTGTTGTCTGTTTCCTGACCTTCTGCCTGTGTTTATTGGATTACCCCTCTTGTCAAGCCCTCTGCATTCTGTTCGCCGATCGAAGACCCACACTAGCCCTAGGAATACTCTTGTGTCTTGCCCTCTACATATCTGTTTGCTGGTGTTCAACCCTGCCTGTTTCTGACCATGTCTTTGAATAAAGCCTTGCATATGGATCCACAAGTCTCATGTCTCGTTCGCCCCATAACAGAATACTCGGCCCCACAAGGCTCCAGCGGCTTTTCAAGTGGACACTGGCCAGGTATGGACATTGCAAGACTGTTATTAGCCCTCAAACAGGGCACACGATTGCTCGAGGACTATATGCAAGAGTATCTGAACTTTACTTATTTTTCTGATCTGCCGGACTGTGTACTCATAGACTTCTTTTGTGAGGCCATTAATCAGCTGCTCAAATCACATTTAATTCGTGAAGGTCCCCGCTCATCTCTCAGTCGGTTTATGGACTATGCTTCGTTAACTGTTGGTTCAACGTTCACTGTGGGTGTCATGGAGGAACGCAACCCCGCATTCACTCATGTAATGGCGGCCACACTAGAGCACACTCACAAAATGGCGGACACAACAGCGCCCCATTATGTCACAGCTGCCAATCCTGAATCAAGTCAAGTCACGGCTGATTTTCCTGAGTCAAACGTGTAATGGCGGCCACACTAGAGCACACTCACAAAATGGCGGACACAACAGCGCCCCATTATGTCACAGCTGCCAATCCTGAATCAAGTCAAGTCACGGCTGATTTTCCTGAGTCAACTCAAGTCACCATTGATTGTCATGAGGCAAGTCAAGTCACGGTTGATCTTCATGAATCAAGTCAAGTCACAGTTGATCGTCATGAGTCAAGTCAAGTCAAGTCACAGTTGATCGTCATGAGTCATGTCATGTCATGTCACAGCTGATCTTCCTGAGTCCATTCAAGTCACAGCTGATCTTCATGAGTCAAGTCACAGCTGATCGTTGTGAGGCAAGTCAAGTCACAGCTGATCGTCGTGAGGCAAGTTAAGTCACAGCTGATCTTCATGAACCAAGTCAAGTCACAGTTGATCGTCGTGAGGTAAGTCAAGTCACACCTGATCTTCATGAGGCAAGTCAAGTCACAGCTGAGCTTCCCGAGTCACGTCACGTCACAGCTGATCGTCAGGAGTCTTGTCATGCCCTGTCTGTTGCACCCAGATCTACAAGGTCAGGCAAGTCAAGTCACAGCTGAGCTTCCCGAGTCACGTCACGTCACAGCTGATCATCCTGAATCTCGTCAGGACACAGCTGATCGTCAGGAGTCTTGTCATGCCCTGTCTGTTGCACCCAGATTGTCAGGGTCAGTCTTTCGGTATCCCAGTCTGGTATCTAGTGGTGGTCTGCTGTCTGGTTCTGGTGGTCTTCTGCTACGCCGTGGTGGCTGCTGTCTGGCTCTGGTGGTTTTCTGCTCCGGTCTGCTCTGGGCTGGTGGTCTTCTGTCCAGCTCTGGTGGCCTTCTGCTCCACCAAGGGGATCTTCGGCCCCATCTTCTCTGGTGGTCTTCAGCTCCACCTGTACTGCCAAGTCCGCCCTGGCTCTCTGCTCCGCCGGTCCTGCCTCAGTCCCCAGTCTCTCCACTTCCACGTGGACCTGGCCCTCCATCCCTGGCCCTCCATCCCCTGTTCCGCCTCCACTCCACCACCCTCCTGAATCGTAAAGTGTTTGGAGCCTCTGGAAGCCGCTCCTTGGGGGGGGGGGGGGGCGGGGCGGGGTCTATTCCGAAACT